GAGGAGAGCGGCTGCGGCGCAGGCAGCAAAGAGCCGCCAAATCCCAATCCCAAAAAAACCCCTCTAAAGCTGCCAAAAATCCCAACCCAAACTTGACTTGAACGGTTAAAAGCGAGCAGATTTGAGTCAGTACACCCAGAGGAAAGACCTGGCCTGCCGCCACCATGACACAGTCCCTTTTCAGAGCCCTGCCTTTGGGCTTTTCTTCAAAGAGCCCAGATGGATTCGATCACCACAAAACGCTTCCAAACGCTGTCGGATAACAACTGCTCTTGGGTACAGGCTCTTTATTGTTTATAACGCTCCTTTGAGAGGCTATAAACATCATAGGAGGGGGACAGAGAATTATATAACAAACTGGGAGGAGAATGACATTATCCTAACACGATGCAGATGTCGGCTTTCCTCGCGACGGAACTGAGTCATCGGTAGCTTTCTCCTCGGTAAGGCTCATTGCACAACACTCCCCAGCGCGCTACGCCAACTCCAGCTGCCCGTTCTTCAGCGGGGAGAGCACGCGGTTCATGGTCCGGTTGAAAGTGTCGACCTCTGGCACAAATTTCTCGGCAGGGACAACGAGTTTTCTCCGGGTGTCCATGCACTTGTTGTCCAGCACCAGGGAACTGGCTTTGTAGCCAATATCTGTCTGAATGCGGTGAAGTTGTCTGTAAAGAGCATCCAAGGTATCCCTGGGAACAAGCAGAAGTGAGACGAGTTGGGTTCAAGCAGTGCATTCACTGCCCAAGTTGGACAGGAAACACCCAACTTCCCACTTTCTGGCAGCAGAAATATCCGTGCAGCGTTTGTGCGAAGAACAAACACATCAATCGGGTATTTCTCGGTGCGCAGCAGCAGCACCGTTTGGGTCTGCAAACACCAAGCCCACACGCTGCTCCTGGAGCGCAGCGCAGAGACGTGTGCCCTGGGAGCCCACACCAGCCCAGAGCAGCACTTCTATTTCTTCCTTTACTTTTCACCACCCCTTTTTTTTTTTTCCCCCCTTTTTAGAATTCTCTGTGCCTGGCTGAGGTCAGAGTCAAGCAGGGACCGTGGGAAGCCCATTCACCCTCCCACCACGCAGACCTCTCGTGCCTTGCTGGCACTGTGCTGCCCAGTCCAGCTCCCAAGACCTTTCCCACTCCCGATCTGAACAGACGAGCTCCAAACGCAGCTTCTGGAAGCGTGCGTGGTCCAGGACTGCACGTGGCCACGTCCCTCACGTGGGCAATGCCAGGCCACTGCTCTGCCCCAGAGAGCAGGACACTTACTGTGACTCTGCCAGCTTCTGTCTGAGCACACGGCTTGTTCCCTCCAGCTGGTGGACCTCGTCTGTTAGCCCGTACTGGACCTGTGAGGTGAGGAGGGAGAAGGCGACAGCAGTTAACAGGGCTGAAGTGTTTTACAAAGGCCACGGTTCTCCCGTTCACCTTCTAGCCCAGCTATGACATTTCTTTCCTTGCTTTGCTAGGGGACTGTAGGATCCACTGCTCAGCCCTTCTGTAGTTTTCTCCAAAATGCATCCACATTTTTCAGAAACACACAAGCCCCCGGCCCGCTGGGTGTCCCTAGTCCCTCCTGGCAGGGAGCGCACCAGGAGAGGCTGGTACCTGATCCCGACAGAGCTCCATATTGGGCCGGTACGTGCGGGTCTCCAGGCGGGTGTGTGCCACTTTCAGATCTTGTGTTTTCCTCCGAAGATCTTCCTCCAAGCGTCGGATGTCCTCCTCCATCTCTGCAATTTCCTCCAAGGTCTAAGGATAAAGACACGCAGGATGAGGGACAGCCAGGGATACAGACTGGAAAACAGCCCCTGTGCATCCCGGGCTTCTACCGTGCTGGGAGGGGATTTTAAACAAGGGCTGGTGGGTTTCCAAGCACTGAACCTCTCTGCTCACAGATCGGGCTTTTCACACAGACCAGGCATGGTGCTGCTGGTGTTTTATGGCCAGAGTAGTTCAGACCAGGGGTGAAATAAAAAGGCCAAAACCTGGCACTGCTGCTGAGAAATGCCAGAGCAGCAACGGTGATAGCAGAAGGAGGTAGGATGTTACCGGGATCATACGTGTGCCACTTAACAGCTCTCACGTAGAAACCACACTCAGGCCAAGCAGCTCTGCACATAACAAACAGCCTTTCGGATTCAATTCCCACCCAAGGTTGCGGTCGGTAACCGAAGAAGCAACATTTACATTCTGCTCCTGCCACTTCAGCTCATCGTAGGCTCTTTCCAGGTCTCTGATCCTCTTGCGCAGGGCAAACTCCGTAGCTACACGCTGAGCCTCCAGCTCGTTGTTAGTCTGAAGAGAGAACAGGCTCCAGCCACACACACCTAGGAGGCGTCTCCCTCCCAGCTGTGGCCTGTGAGGTTGGGACAAGCCTATGAGCAAACCCAGCTGGGTCTGGCAGCTGCCACGTGGGTACAGGTCACGCACCCCCCTGCCGTGCCAAAAGGCAGGGAATGATGGACAGGTACGTGTCTCCCAGGTTGCTGAGACTGCTGCAAGCTCCGCAGCATCACTGAGCTCCTCTCAAACCAGGAGGGCAGCTGCTCTCAGAGAGGACCACGGGCCAACGCTGCCTTTTCCCTTCCCCTGGCCACAGCACACGCCAGCCCGTTCTCCCACACTGGATCCAGAACTTCTGCACCACCGATTCACGGCCAAGGGGCTGCTGTACCTGTGCAATAGCAAGCGCTGTTGCTTCTCGGAGGCCAGTGGAGGCTTTCATTTCTGCCTCAGCACGCTCCTTGTTGCATTGGCTATTCTGTTCCCACTCATCAAGCCCAGTTGATCTGTGAACAAATCAGCAGTTGTGAAAGTAAGTTGAGCATTTGCAAGACAGTTCAAAAGGAACCACCTGCTGCAGGCCAAGGTGGCTTTGTGCAGAACAAAATCATTCAGGAATTCTGGAGGTCACACCCTGTCTGATCTCCTCACTGCACCAGCTGGAGGTTGGTACCCCATGGCTCATGCAATGAGCCCAACTTCTGCTCAAACCGGGGACACGGCCAAACTGTGCTATGAAACACCAAGCAAGCGAAAACAGGCAGCAACTCACCCCTAAGCTGTGCTGAAGGCTGACACCACAGTGCTTCCTACCAAGTGTCACCTATGGCCAAGCACGAAGGAGGCAGGGCAGCTAGCTTCTGGTTTTGTGGTGACAATTTGGATAACTCCCAAAAGTCTGTGGCTTCACTATTCAAGAACCACAACAAATCCCAGAAGCCAACTCCTGTTCCGAGCTCTCTCCAAAACTGCACCCACCAAGCCAGGACGTAGCATGGAAAGAAAAAGCATCCCCAGGGCTCTTTCGAGCACCAGCGTGGATTTGGCCACGCAAAGGCAGGTTCTTTCCTTACCCGCCTGGGACTCGTGTCGGGTTGACCTTGAAGGAGATGTTGGGAGAGTTCACGTTGAGGGACAAGCACACACGATCTATTTCCAGTGCTTCCATCTTGCACCGGTGGTCACAGCTCAGCTGCTGGCGAGCTTCCTGCAAGAGGCTGCAGAAAGCAGGGTGGGAGTCAGCGGGGAGCACAGAGGGGCGAGGCAGCTCACACCTCCCAAAGCTTTTGTCACCACATCAGTCTCTTTAAAACGACTGACGAGTTCCTGCCCTCCCACAATGAACCGGGCCCAACTGGGTGAAGCAGCACACCTGCTGCACCACCTGCCTGGCTCTCCCGTGCTCTGCACTGGCATCGCACTGGTGAACTGAGCTGCCCACCCTCCTGCAGCGGGGCAGCGACCCACGAGGGATTAGGGCCTGGGAGCTGTAACACCTCCAGGTCACCGATTCATGAACCAAGGCAGGTGGCACAAGATATCTGTCCAGGCCAAAATTTTCCAAGGATACTTGTGAAGTCTCCCTTGACACGCTCTCACCTAGAAGCCCCCAAACTCCACAGACCTTGACAATAACCATCAAAGGCTCCTCCTAAGTGGCTCACTGCCCCCGGGCTGCTTGCCCACCTCAGCATGGCATTAGGGGCACATTAAACTGCTGGGGCCAAGCGAGGAGGGGAAGAGTCTGGTCAAAAGCTGTGTCATTCGCCTCACCAGAGCTGTTCGAAGGCTTCGTGCACTCTCTGCTGCAGTTCTCTCTTGGCTTTGTCTATCACCTTCACCTCCTTGTGCAGCTCCTCCTCCACAGGGTCCCTCACCACATCGATGGCGCGGCGGCTCTCGCGGAGCGTCAGGCACTCGATGGAAACGTCCAAAGGCAAGTTCTTTGCCTGGAGGGCACGTTCTGCTGCTTCCTTCACCTGGAAGAAGCAGCCAGCTGGGTGTGTGGGGGTCTCCTTCTGAGACAGGAGGAAGAAAGGAAGAGGAACCCACCGATACCCTTGTTCAGAGGGCCTCGCATGGCCTGTCTTTGCAGTTCTGAAACATTTAGCAAGTCTGGAGTGAAAACTGCGAGAGCCAAACACGTTAATTAGTCCTCTGCATCTGCTATTTGCATTGGGAATCACACCTGGCTGGGGGCTGACGACTCCAGGAGCAGCAGCCTCTGGGTTTAGAACTAAGAGAATCAGAGATGTCCCGCTGCTATTCTCTATTGAAAATCAAATATTTTTGAATGATGGTGTTAACGTATGTCTCATTATCCTCTAGAGCTTTAAAAAAAAACCCAAAAAACAACCAAAAAAACCCCAACAAAAACCACCCAAAACCCCAAACACGAGCATGCCATACACAGCTCTGTAAAACAGCTTGGCTCAGCCAAGAACACGGTGTTTTTCTTTCCAGGAAGCCATTTCATCAGGTATGGATCTCTGTATACCTGTGATAAGCCCCCCTTGAACTCCATATGGGCTTGCCCACTGCAGAAGACGAGCCTCAATTATTTAACATCCCATGTGGAGAGTGTAAGTTGATTTCCAGCCATCTGTCTTCCCAACATACTTTGGCTAAGGCATCGATTTCCGCATCTATGTCTGCAAGGCATTTGTCCAGCGCCTCTTTCCATCTGTTCACGCTGCTGATACGTTCAGCCAGGCGGGTTCGGTTGTCATGCTCATCCCATTTCGTCTGGAATCAGAGGAGAAATGCCATTACTCTTTTTTAAATTGCAGTTGTGAATCTTGCTGAAGCCTTTCCCTGTTTTCAGGACTGACTGATCCCTCAGAAGAGTACAACACACCGCCATTTGGTCTAATAGTCATCTACACAAATGGCGAGCACAGAAAACAACGCAAGTTGTAACGGATGTGGGGATCACACACAGGGATTTCATGACAGTACACATGCGTCACTGCGCATGGGCTTACAGGAGGTAAATGTACGTACTCAGTAGGTTCCGTTGAGTTAACGCCTTCTCCTATTCCCTCGCCCATGCACCCAGATGCTCGCCCGTGCTCCTCAGCCCGCTACTCTGCCAAACCGGGGAGCAGCCCACCTGCCACAAGGCTCACCTGGTTGTTGGTTTCGTTGCGGAGAGCTCGGGCTTCCTGCCGGACTTGGTGGGAAGCAGAACGCTGGCGTTCGGCGTCAGCTGAGATGAGATGGGAGTTGGTGTGCCACTCCGGCAAGGTGAACCGCTGTCCTGGCTTTACACTCAGCGTGGCCATCTTGCTAAACAGGTGACTAAACGGGAGTGGAACATTTTTCATGTTTATTCATGGAAATACATCGGAAATAGAGATGCACCCACAAACTGGAAAGCTCTTCAAGAGAAAAGCAGCAGCAAACTCTAACCCAGCACCTCACCCAATGCTGTCACACATATCCACACAGCTGGGGAAGGGCAGGTGATGGGAGCCACCCTCTGCCCCCGGGGCCAGGACGAAAGCCCTGTTCACCAGTCTCTCCCTAGAGAAAAGTGCTATTTGCAGAGAGACAAAGAGCCGCTCACAGCACCATCTCCCACGCGGTACTTGTTGAGCTTGGAGAAAAAGGCTGATTAAGTTACTAATTCTGCTTTTGTTACAGCCCCATAGGCACAGCCCAGAGTTGCAGTCCCAAGGGACTCGAAGGCTTTACAGGAGCAGCATAGTTTCCAGCCATCTTCCTTGCTACGCAGCACACCCCTGCAAAAAACTGACAGGAATTGCAGAGACCACTCAACAAAATCAGAGCAGCTCCCTAAAACCCCACAGTCAGGTATACCTGAGCCGAGGAGTCGTGTCTACCCCAGGTATACCCCACAGCCTGTCCCCTAGGCCTCTCGGGCACCGGTAGTTGGGGACAGAGCTCCTTGAGCACAGCCAGCCTGCCGCTGGGGAGCTCCTGAAGGGAAGGAAGCCCTGCAGCAGGCCGTGGGGCTGCAGAGCCAGAGAGAAGCCACGCAGGCCTGCGGGGCAGAGAGACCCGACCCCCTAGGTGGAAAGAAGGAGGGAGCGGAGAGAAAAAGGGAAGGGGTTCAGCCCCCATCTAGGAGGGGCCTTCGCCCAGCCGGGCAGCCCCTCAGCAGGGTGCCCCAGCTCCGCCGCGCCAGGGCCTCGCTGCGCCCTC